TATTATTATTATTGATTGATTAAATGTATTATTGAGTCTCAATAAAAAAAATTCTCCCCCCCCCTCCAAAAAAAAGGATATATAGTGTATATATATTAATGGCTTTCAATGCCTTTGAATACCTGTAATTGTCTTTTTCAGTCTTCTATGCTGTAGTTTGTTTTGTTGAAAAGTTTTAATGTTTGTTATATGGTGTTTATTATTGTATGTTGTAGGATAGGCAATACCTGGATGAGGTGAATAGTAAAAGGATGGCTTCCATCAGCTGGGATTGCCAACTTTCTAGCTTTATTTTCCTGTGCCTTTAATGCAGCCTTACCCAGGAGTTGCACAGGTGGATCCGTGTTCCAATCCTACCAATCCAAACATCACCTGCTAAAGGCACAGAGGGAGGGCCAGTAAAGAGTCCACCACTATCCTTTGAATAAAACCAGCAAATTATGTCTTACCTCCAGTGGCATGAAGTTTTAAAGAAGGGGCAGAATATTTTAAAGGGGAAGGGGATTGAAAGATGTTTATTGCCAAGTGTTGACCTAAGCAGAGGCTACTTCTATTAGCAGCAGTAGTAGTATCATAGAATCATAGAATCATAGAATCATAGAGTTGGAAGAGAACACAAGGGCCATCCAGTCCAACCTCCTGCCATGCAGGAACTCCCAATCAAAGCATCCCCGACAGATGGCCATCCAGCCTCTGCTTAAAGACCTCCAAGGAAGGAGACTCCACTACCATTTATATCCTGCCTTTTTCCCGCAGAATTAATGCAGTTTGACACCACTTGGAACTACCATGAGATCCTGGGATTTGTAGTTTGTTGTGGCACCAGAGCACCTAGCTCACAAAACTATAAATGCCAGAATCTCATCTAGCATTGAGCCATGGCAGTTAAAGCAATGTCAAATTGCATTAATTCTGCAAGGGAGGTGGCTGCCATGGTGGCTAACAACATTTTACACAATAGAGGTTAAAACCACTGCAAAAGTTAAATGAAAGAATAAAATGTACATTTAAACAAGCATATGTTAAAGCAATTAAAAATACAAAAATGCATTAAAACAATTTTTTAAAAACCCTCTTGCTCTTGCAAGTGTAACTTCTCTTGCCCACAGCACCTTTATCTTTGCTGTCAGACTAAGACTTTCCTATTCAGGACAGGTGTTTAAAACAAAGTTTTTAAAGACCATCCCGGGGGTGTTGTAATATTTTAAAGTGTATGGTTTTTAGGTGGTTGTTAAGTGCTTTCATCTTTTTAAAATTGTATTCTGTTTTTAAACAAATGGTCTGTTTTAATACCGTGATAGTCTAATTCCTTTTAATTGTCACTTTTGGTCCAAAACACACTGCAGAAATGATCTGTTTTGAGACCGCTTTATCCTGGTTTGAGACGTGGATCAACTCTAGGGAATTCTGGGAACTGTAGTTTTGTGAGCCATTTCGCCTTCTCTGTTGGAGAGCTCTGGTGCTACAATAAACTACAATTCCCAGGATTTCCTAGCCCTGAGCCAGGGCAGGTAAAGTGGTCTCAAACTGGATTATTTATGCATTGTGTTTTGAACTTCAGTTAGTCACTAACTAGTGCAGGTTAAATTTCTGAACCAAAATGCGATCTAGCCCAGCCTACTCCTTTCTCTTCAAGATGGAAGCAGGTGAGTTGTTGTCTTCTGTTGTCTTCTGCCATTTCCCTCCTGGGTGATTAACAAGAGGCAAAATCAGGGACAAAGTTTAAAATAAGTGAGTTAACAGTGTATCTAGTAAGAACTTTATCACAT